AAAGCCTACGAGCGTTGTTTAAACGCGCTAAAGATGAGAGTGGGAAAAGATGGGGATAATAAATAATGATGTGGTGAATGGGGCAGGCTTTCTGGGTACACGAGCGCCAATGGCAGAGGAAGGGCGGGCTTGGGAACGTGAAATCATGCCCCTCCTGATTACATAAATAATTTTTCTCCCTCAAAAATTATATAAAAATATACAATCATAAATAGTTATTTTGCTGATCAAATATAAATAAAGCTCCGTTCATTTAGCTGATTTAAATTTAAAATTTAAATTTTATTATAGTAAAAAATTCTCAAAAATAATTACATTTAATTTTTTTATTACAGTAAAAAATTCTCACATAAAGTCACATCTAAACTCGAATTAAAAATTTGAATCAACAAACTAAACAGGCACAAAGTTACTTTGTTCAATTTTATCTGAGTTTCGTTATAGTAAAAAATTTTAAAAATAATTATATTTAATTTTTTTTATTATAGTAAAAACTCTCATATAAAATTACATATCAATTCGAATTAAAAACTCGAATCAATGAACTAAACGTACATTTTATTTAATTAGACTCTTTTTTCCTAATTAAAAAAATAACGATTAAGGATTATTTACGCTCAGAAAATAAAAATATAGATTCATTTCAACTTTGTCCCTTAATTTTAAAAACTCTCACTTTTAAAAATTAAGTACTTAACGGTTAGTACTTAGTTGTTCATGAAAGACTCTTTTTTTCCTACAACGACCACCGTTTTTCTTTGGTTGAAACTAATTCTTCTTCTGTGGCTAAATATGTTATGGATTTAGATGTGACAATTCGTGCTAGTAGATCGTGTTCGTGTTAATCTACTTATTAATTGTGTTAAAAAACATCAACCCAAATACGATACGTTATGGATTTTTTGGCTAAATATGTTATGGATTTATTAATTGTGTTATCGTGTCGACCCGCATAACCCATTTAAATTAATATATTAAATAGATAACTAATATAATAATGAGTTATTTAACACGATCATGACATGTTTAGCATGTTTATTGATTAATTTATCTTTTTCTTTAAAAAAATAAATGAATTTCACCACAAATATTAAAATTCATATTATTTGTATCTAATATGTTATATAAACTTTTATATTATATCACATGTCATTAGATTGTAGATGACACACATAGTTAATCGTGTTAGAAGGTCAACCCTAACCCAAACTGTTTATTAATCGTGTTATTTGTGTTAACCCGATTATAACCTAAACTCATTTATAGTAAACCTAAATCCACTAACTACGTACAGTTTCGAGTCGTCTTTCATGTCATGACCCTAATTAGGATCCAGCCTCTCTGACTGCGGAATAACTATCTTAACAGATATTAGACATATGTTGTTTGTGGGCAGTAATGGCTATTGCGGCCATGTTACTTGAAGTATTTTCCTTCTTGCATTGGGAATATTATAATTGCCGATATGACTTCGGTTTAATGCAATTCTCATGTTCACATCGAAAAAAAAAAACTCTAGTTTTATCTATTAACTTTTAAATTACTCATGTAACACCATTGCTAGACTTTTTTGTTAAAAACGTTCTAAAAAAAGAGGTGGTAGAATTTATGTTAAAAATAAACGGAAAAGTATCATATCACCACACTAAATCCCTTCTTTTTCTAAATATTTTCAACATAACTTCTCACAAAAAAGGTTAAATAGGATTGGTTCAATTTAAGATATAAAGTGAGAGTTTAAAAAATTATGAACAGATTAATAATGATCTTAAAGTTTAGAAGGCACAAATGATACTTATCCCAAAAGTAATTAAAAATATATAAAAAGATACTAGAATTTCTGACTACCTATAGTTGTATTTTTATAATATGTAAATGTGGTAGAATTTAATAAACAATCTGATATGTTTTCCAAGGGAATTCATTAAAAGTAATCTTACAATCTAGAGATATAATAGTAATATGATATTTTCGTTTTATATGTGCTAAAAGTTGCCCCAAAACCACAACTAAAAACAATTACCAAGACTTAACACTAACTTATAAACAAGAAAAAAAATGAAATTATTATTCAAATGTAATAAAAAAAAATATTATCCACCTCTAATCGGCTTAACCATAGAAAAGTAGTATTTTTCTGGCCATAGAGAAGAACTAATAACACATATATAGTTTTTTTTTTTTTTTTCTGCTTGTAAACTCATAACATAATAGTTAATAAACTTCAACCATATGTATTGTAGTCTTAACTAAATTTGTAACTACTTCCGGTAACACGAGTAATTTTTTGGTCAAACATGGCCAAGCAAAAGTGATACCTTTTTTTGTTTTACTTTTTTCTGAAATATATATATATATATATTTAAAAAAAAAAAAACTTTGAATAGGTGACAATTATTACCATATGGTGGAAAGTAAAATGTTCTGCCTTAAACCATCACACGTAATTCACATCAATCATGTACTAATGATTATCAATATTATCAATTTTTTTTTAATGGTGCAATATGGTAAAAGAGCCCAAAAGTTTGTGGTAGGGAACGTTTAATTGCAATGCGTGTGTTTTCTAAAAGTCACATTGTGTTAGGACGAAACAAATCATAAAGCATAAGTACATCATATTGAGTCTAATAAAAAATTAACAACTTTAAAACACTCATTATTAACAAGGTATTTATGATCATACCACATTTTGAAATTCCTTATTTTTTTTCTAGGAAAATTCGACAAACACAATGTATCTTCATAAAACATAGCCATTATAAAGTTTTAGGTTTAAATTTGACCGCCTGTAATTCACTTTAATTTACTACTTCAGAGGAAAATCTAATTAATTATGCATGGAACAAGAAAATAAATAATAATCCCTTATAAAAAGAAAATTAATAATGATTAGAGGACTTATATCTAGATTAGTGTTATTTGTCGTGCATGGTTTAGTTTTTGTATAGCTAAAGCCTTTTCTATCGTCTAACTAACCTTTTTTCGTTATTATTTTACGTTAGATGATTTTTTTTGGATGAATTTTTTTTATTGAAATGTTTGAACTGAATAACTTTAAAATAAATAACTTGTTTTTTTCGTGGATGTTTAATTCATAAATTCAGAATTATGATTCAGATTTATTTTCGATTTACGTGTGTTTTTTTATAAGAAAAAAATACTATAACGAATCACGAATTATAATTTAAATCATGATACGAATATACCAATTAAACGCACAAATTTACGTGTGTTTACATGTGTTTTTTTTGTTGTATCTCTTACCTAGCATTAGATCAACATTAGGCTAGTAGGCTCTCAACTTCAATTTTCAGCCAATTAGAATTCAACTCCATAAGCACTGTTAAAATCTAGATGCTGAATTATACAATCCAAAATATTAAATTTTAGGACCACTAAACCACTAGCAAAATAATTTTACAATATTATAAAAATGTTTGTCTTGTTATTAAATGGTGTCTAGCCAAGAATCAAATCAACGGAAAAGCTAGACAAAAGGAAGCAAGAAGAGAAGAAAATTATGACGAGTAAAAGGGTTTTTACCATTATCATATATGAGGCTTTTTACCGCTCTAATATCGAAGATAATTGATATTTGTTAGTTTTTATGTAATTTATAGCTATGTATCTAACTAAAAAAAAATAGAAATATTTGTTTGAAAGATAGTGGATTTCCCCCTCTTAGATAATCTTATTGGTCTACTTAAAGTTTCTCATTATGATTATTTAAACTCGAAAGACAAAAAATATTGTGACTCGTTAATTAAATCACCGAGCCCTTTTGGTATGCGGCTTCTATTAACTATGTTTATTAAAAAAATCACATGACACTAACCAAGAAATTAATGCATAATATGTTAGACAAAAACTTTCAGAAAATAAATTAAGAGATTTTTACGATAGATCTTAAAAAAATGAACTAGCGGTAATTTTATGTTTTTAACCGTTATACCTTGGTTAGAAAATTTTTTTTTTTTTACATAAATTTTTAATTTAATGTGTTTTTAATTAAATCTTAAGAAATAGACACCAAATTAATTTAACCTTTGATAAAGTGTCGAGAAATAGACATCACTTAATCCTCATTGTAGTCTAATTATTGACTACCATTGAAAAGAAATGAACGTTGAGAGAGTCCCTAGCATTTTTAATAGGTAACATCAGACAAGGAATAAATATTTAAATAAGAGTGTCAAATCCAAAAAAAAAAAAAAGAATAAATAAATAAAAGTGCAAGTGGTAAAACACACATAATTATTTAATTATATGCATTAAAACAAGAAATGGGATTTGAATTGAATCCTCGTGAGTGAAAAAGAGGCCCCCCATTAAATAAATTAATTAATAACATGGGGGGGTATGGAATCTCCCATTAATTGAAAGTGATTGATCTATCTATCTTTCATCACACGTACACCAGGGGAAAAAAAAAAAAAGGGTAAAAGAAAGGGGGAAAAAAAAAAGCACTTTATTTTATATGACTACGAGAGACAAAAACAGTTCATATTTTTTCCCATAAAGCAAAAGAAAAATAATAATTAGGGTGGTGATTAAGGAAGCAAATCCAAATCCCATTTCCCTAATCTAAAACTTCTTTTCTTCTTCTTCTTCTTTCTTAGAGAGACAAAGAAATCATTTTTGAGCAACAAAGTTCATCAAAGCCAAATGGGAAAAAAATTAGGGGGAGAGAGAAAGTGAAGGAAAGTTAGAGAAAGTGAGAGAGAGAGAGAGGGGTTTTTTTTTTAAAATGATTGTTTGTGAAATAAAAGAGGATTAAAAAGGTGAGTAAAGAAAAGTGATGGGAGTTTTTGGAGAGAGAGAAAGTGGAGAGAGAAAGAGGAGAGGGGGGTGACACACACTCACATGGCATGTGAGCACAGCTGTGTGCAAAACCCCATTCGATAAATACCCTTCTCACCATCCACACTCAGACTTTTGACTCTCTTTCTCTCTCCTCCCCCTTTCTATTCTTTCTCTCTCTAAAACCAGAAGCTAAAAGAAAAATAACAGCTTCTGAGCTCTCTCTCTCTCTCTCTCTCTCTCTCTCTCGCCTCCTCTTCAATGGCAACTCTCAAACCTTAAATCTAAAATCAAATCTTCTTTTCATAACCTTGCTCTTGTCTTCTCTTCAATCCAAAATTGATATTGCTAAGGCTGCTTCAAAATTGATATTGCCAAGGAAAAACAAGGAGAAACACAATGAAACCCTCGTCTCTCCACCACCACCTTATACTCGCCGTCGCCGTCGTATTGTTAACTCTCTGGTTGCCGGCGTTGTTCGCCGGAGCTGCCGGCGTTGGCAACCAGCTTCTCAGCTTCAAAGCAGCTCTTCCGGACACGAGCGTCCTCGAAAACTGGTTCGAAAACCAGAACCCTTGCTACTTCTCCGGCGTCAAATGCGACGGAGCTAGGGTTTCCTCCATAGACCTTAGCTTAGTCTCACTCGGCACCAATCTCAGCGTCGTGGACTGGAAAATCTGGTTCTGAAATCGGCGAACCTCAGCGGCTCCATTTCGCTCCCTCCGGGATCCAAGTGTGGCTCCTTTCTCGCGTCCATAGATCTGTCGCAGAACAGCTTCTCCGGTCCGGTGTCGGACCTCTCAAGCTTCGCTGCTTGCTCGGCGTTGAAGTCTTTGAATCTGTCGTCGAACTCTCTCGATTTCTCTCTCAAGGATAAGGACTTCTCTGCCGGATTGAGGTTGAGCTTGAAGGTTCTGGATCTTTCGTTCAACAAGATTTCGGGTTCCAACGTCGTTCCGTGGATCTTATCGCGGAGCAATTGCAATGAGATGAGTCATCTGTCGCTGAAGGGGAACAAGATCGCCGGAGAGATGAGTTTCATCTCTTGCAAGAGATTAGAGTTTCTGGACGTTTCGTCGAACAACTTCTCGACGAGTATTCCGTCGTTCGGAGACTGTTTGGCTCTCGACCACCTCGACCTCTCCGGCAACAAGCTCACCGGCGACGTCGCTAGGGCAATATCCAGCTGTGGCCAGCTTGTCTTCCTCAACCTCTCCAGCAACCTCTTCGACGGACCGATTCCGAGCTTCCCGGTGGAGAATCTCAAGTTCCTCTCCCTCGCCGTCAATAGCTTCAGCGGCGAGATTCCGTTGAGCATTTTCGATTCGTGTTCCAGCCTCGTCGAGCTCGACTTGTCGAGTAACGGCCTCGCCGGATTAGTCCCCGACGCGTTGAGCTCTTGCTCGTCGCTGGAGTCGCTGGATTTGTCGAAGAACAACTTCTCCGGCGAATTGCCGATCGAGACTTTGATGAAGCTCAAGAAGCTGAAGTCTCTCGCCCTCTCTCACAACCGTTTTTTCGGAAAGCTGCCGGATTCTCTCTCCGACCTTCCGAGCTTGGAGTCCTTAGATCTGAGCTCCAACAATTTCTCCGGCTATATCCCCTTTGGGCTTTGCCAAGGCCTCGGAAACAGCTTGATGGAGCTCTACCTTCAGAACAATCTCTTCATCGGAACTATCCCGGCCTCTCTGAGTAACTGTTCTAACCTCGTTTCTCTCGACCTGAGCTTCAATTTCCTCACCGGAACTATCCCTCCGAGCTTCGGCTCGCTCACTAAGCTCCGGGACTTGATAATCTGGCTCAACAATCTCCGTGGAGAAATCCCGCCGGAGATTTCCAACATGAAGTCCCTGGAGAATCTGATCCTCGATTTCAACGATCTCACGGGCTCAATTCCGCCCGGCCTTGGAAACTGCACGAGCTTGAATTGGATTTCGCTGTCGAACAACAGATTGAGCGGCGAGATTCCGAAGGAGCTTGGAAAGTTGCCTTCTCTCGCCATTCTCAAGCTCAGCAACAATTCTCTCTATGGGAGCATTCCCCCGGAGCTCGGGGACTGTAAGAGCTTGATATGGTTGGATCTCAACACAAATTTTTTGAACGGATCGATTCCGCCGGCGCTGTTCAAGCAGTCCGGCAACATCGCGGTGAACTTCATTGCGTCGAAAACGTATGTCTACGTCTACATCAAGAATGATGGGAGCAAGGAATGCCACGGGGCGGGGAATTTGCTCGAGTTCGCCGGGATTAGGACCGAGCAGTTGAACAGGATTTCGATGAGGAACCCCTGCAATTTCAACAGAGTGTATAGAGGTAATATCCAGCCGACATTTAACCATGATGGGTCCATGATTTTCTTTGACCTTTCGCATAACTTGTTGTCTGGTAACATCCCCAAGGAGATTGGGAAAATGCGGTATTTGTTGATATTGAATTTGGGCCACAACAATCTCTCCGGCACGATCCCGGAGGAGCTCGGCGGGTCGACGAATCTCAACATCCTTGATCTGTCGAGCAACCGGCTTGACGGGACGATCCCTCAGTCGTTGACTCGGCTCTCTATGTTGATGGAGATTGATCTGTCCAACAACTTTCTTTCCGGGATGATCCCAGAGTCGGCGCAGTTCGAGAGCTTCCCTCCGTACAGATTTCTCAACAATTCAGGACTTTGTGGCTACCCTCTTCCACAATGTGGGGCGGACTCCGGTAAAAACTCAAATTCGCACCATCAAAAGTCTCACCGGCAAGCGTCTCTGTTCGGAAGTGTGGCAATGGGGTTGTTGTTCTCGCTGTTTTGCATCTTCGGATTCATCATAGTCGCCATCGAAACCAAGAAGAGAAGGAAGAAGGAGTCGAGTCTCGACGTCTATATCGACAGCCGTTCGCACTCGGGCACTGCCAATGTGACTTGGAATTTGACCGGTGCCCGGGAAGCCCTGAGCATCAATCTTGCCACGTTCGACAAGCCGCTTCGCAAGCTTACTTTTGCCGATCTTCTTGAGGCCACCAATGGCTTCCACAATGACAGTTTGATAGGGAAAGGCGGTTTCGGAGATGTGTACAAAGCGCAGTTGAAAGATGGAAGCACTGTGGCGATCAAGAAATTGATACACATTAGTGGGCAGGGTGATAGAGAATTCACCGCTGAAATGGAAACTATTGGGAAGATCAAGCACCGGAACCTTGTTCCTTTGCTTGGCTATTGTAAAGTAGGAGAAGAAAGGCTTTTAGTGTACGAGTATATGAAGTACGGAAGTTTAGATGATGTTTTGCACGACCCAAAGAAGGCTGCGATTAAGTTAAACTGGTCAGCAAGGAGGAAAATCGCCATTGGGGCTGCAAGGGGATTGGCATTTCTGCACCACAATTGCATCCCGCACATCATTCACCGTGATATGAAATCTAGCAACGTTCTTCTGGACGAGAATTTGGAAGCCAGAGTCTCCGATTTTGGGATGGCAAGGCTGATGAGCGCAATGGACACGCATTTGAGTGTCAGCACTCTCGCGGGCACTCCCGGTTATGTCCCGCCGGAGTACTACCAGAGCTTCAGGTGCTCAACGAAAGGCGATGTCTATAGCTACGGCGTTGTTTTGCTCGAGCTGCTCACGGGGAGGCAGCCGACGAATTCAAGTGATTTTGGGGACAACAATCTTGTTGGTTGGGTCAAACAGCATGCTAAATTGAAGATAAGCGACGTTTTTGATCCTGAGCTCATGAAGGAGGATCCGAGCCTCGAGATCGAGCTCTTGCAGCACTTGAAAGTGGCCTGCGCGTGCTTGGATGATCGGCCGTGGCGGCGCCCGACAATGATTCAGGTCATGGCAATGTTTAAGGAAATCCAAGCGGGGTCTGGGATTGATTCACAATCCACCATTGCCACGGAGGATGGAGGTTTCGGTTCGGTTGAGATGGTAGATATGAGCATAAAAGAAGCCCCAGAACTAAATTGCAAGCAGTGAGAACGAGAGGAAAAAAAAGGGAAAAGTTTGGACCAAAATTTTCCAATAGATTCTTTGGAAGAAAGAAGAAAGAAGAAAGAAGAAGAAGGTGGGAGAAGATTATTGTCTTCTCCACACCAAAAAAAATGAATTTTCCCTCTTCTTTACCAGTTTCAAATGGGTTAGAATTTGCTCATCCTTGTGTATCTCTACCATTTAATGTATGTAAAACTTGTTATTTATACGTAGAAGGTTGTTTTTTTTTTTTTTTTTGGGTAACTTTGTTATGAAATGTGTATATAAACAGCTTTTCAGTTCTCATGCTCTGCTCAATTTGATTGTTTCTAGTTCTTTTATGAGAAAAGAGTTAAGAGCATCGGATTCAGATAAAATCCTGAAAGGGAAGCTGTGACCTCAGTGATAGTGACTAAGTGGAATTTTTTTCCTTTTTTTTTTTTTGGCCATTTCTTCAGCTGCTTAATTTGTTTGCTTTTTTTTTTTTTTTTTTCTCAAGATAATTTGTTTGCGTTCTTCTCTACAAAATTATGCCAAAGGGTGTCTCATACCAATCGATCTTGTTCTAGGACATCATAATATGTGCTTTCTTCTTCTTTTGAGTTTTACTTTAATGAAAAAAATTGATAGTCCAATTCAACAAGGGTCTTGTGTGCAATACAAGGTACGATTGTTGAAATAATGTGGTTCATGAGCAAGAACTTCTAGGGTTTGAGGATGAAAGTGTGGAGTGGTTACGAATGACCCGTTTGATTCATAGATTTATATATAAAAATATGAACAAAAGTTTAAATTTTGTAAGCAAAAATACTATAGTAAAATGATTTAAACAGTAATTTAAACATATAAAACAAACGCATGATTGGAATTTGTTATTATGTATGAAAAGAAAACATTTGGTGTCATTTTTGCTTTTATTTCCTTCTTTAAAGTTAAATTATTCCATTTTATATACTCTTTATTGATAGAATGTATAATAAAATTGAAAGAAAAAACACGGATAATTAATCAAGGATTTGGTGGATTATTTTTGCTTTTATTTCCTTCTTTAAAGTTAAATTATTCCATTTTATATACTCTTTATTGATAGAATGTACAATAAAATTGAAAGAAAAAACACGGATAATTAATCAAGGATTTGGTGGATTTAGTATTTTTTTTTATTGGAACAAGTTTTTTTATTGGAAGAATTGAAGTTACAAAGTTTTGTTTGTATTGTAAAAGATAAATGTACGCATGTAAACTTTTCAGTTGTTAAGACCAATTTTCGGTACTCTCACATGACCACGAAAGTTTTTTGTACGTATACGGTGGTCGTGATATATATATATATATATATATATATATATATAGGGAAAAATAACTCTGTACAGAACGTTGTTACTATTTTTAGCATAAATCTATTGCTTTCGTGATGTTTTCTCTCTTATCATCCAATATCAATTCTCATTATATGCTGTGAGATTGTAATTAATAATAATATAGTGGATTTAAAAAAAAAAAAAGATTTGGTGGATTTAGTTTTTTTTTTTTTAATTTCACACGTCATCCCATAACAATTTAAGTTACAAAGTTTTGTTTGTATTGTAAAAGATAAATGTACGCATGTAAACTTTTCAGTTGCTAAGACTACCAATTTTCGGTACTCTCACATGACCACGAAAGTTTTTTGTACGTATACGGTGGTCGTGATATATATATATATATATATATATATATAGTGAAATTGTTACTATTTTTAGCATAAATCTATTGCTTTCGTGGTGTTTTCACAAATGTTCTCTCTTATCATCCAATATCAATTCTCATTGTATGCTGTGAGATTGTAATTATGTCAATCACCTGACTTGTTAAATATTGTTTGGGTTGATATGAGTTTTTGACTCAATTTTTATATACAATTACGATTTGTAAGTAATTTGAATTTATTTGCCTCAAATTTTATATTAGTAAAATAATCTCTTAACTTTAGAAGATTTTTTTTAGTTTTGGTTAAATTCTCATTGAACCACGTCAAAGGCCGTGTTTGGAATTAATTTATTTTTTGTTTTTCACGTTTTTTAAAAAAGAAAAAATGAAACGTTTTTAAAATGATGTTTGACGCATTAAAGACAAAAAATAGAAATGAAAATAATTTTTTAATTTAGTGTAAAATAAGAGAGAAATGAAAAATGATTTTTAGTCGTTTTTCATTTTTTATTTTCGTTTTCTCCTCTCTCGAGCAGAGAAAAAAATAGAGAAACATTAATGGGTTTTTTTATACTGAAAATAATCTTTTGATAAAATCACCAAATGCATTTTTAAAAATAATTTCTGTCTGAGATTGAAAACGTTTTCATTTTCATTTTTATACAAGAAATAAAATTATTTTGAAATGAGTTTCAAACGCACCCTTTATGTTCTTCTATTTCTTTTAAATGTTTCTTCAATTTTTATTAACCTAGGTGATATTTATTTATTTATTTATTTTATAATTTGAGGCAGTGTAATGTGGGTCCGGAATTAGAATTTGCATTATATTTTTCCTTTGAAATAATCCTGTATTTCCCTATTATAATAAACAAACTAGTCTATAGCAAAAATTGAAGTGAAAATGCGATGAAGATGAGTAGAAACACTTGCATCTTTCACATTTTTCTCACAAGCAAAAAAAAAATAATTCCACATGGTGGCTATGGAAATTTTACCATTGTCCAGGGACTTAATGAGAAGGCAAGCATGGGAAAACTGCCCCACCAACCCAACGTAGAGACAAAAAAAAAAAAAGAAAAATCATATTGAAAGAAACGAAACTGGCTATTGGCAAAGGCCAAAAGAAAAATATTGCAGATTATTATCATTATAATTATCTCCCAAAATCATTTATAACTACATGAAAATTGGACCATTTTACAGAGAACCCGTCTCTATATATTCTTTGGAGAGATTATTTCGACATTCACATCTGTGGCTGGACCATCTGTAATCAAGTCTTGATCCCATTATTGTAACCCATAAATGCATAATTGGCATTCTCTCATTGGTGTCAGTATTACTTAGGTTTCAATGTTTTCTTTCTCTTTTTTATGAGAAAAATGAACAATGAATTATATAAGAGACTTCCTCTTCTGTGACATGAAGAATTAAAATCTAGATTCTTGTGTCAAGTGAAAATTTTGTGCGTTTGGTTGGTGGGTTCGTGTCATGATTCGAATCATGATTCGTAGTTCATTACAGTATTTTTTTCTCATAAAAAACACACAAAAATTAAAAATGATTCTGAATCTATATACAAACGTAGCAAAAAAAAAAAAAATGAAAATTTTAAGAGGGTATGGTTGCCCTAGCTAGTCTCTCTCTCTCTCTCTCTCTCTTTATTTTATTTTATTCTCTTCATCTTAAATTCCTGCGTTCTTCTCATCAGAGAGATCTGGTAGGAATTTTTCTTTTCCTTTTCTTCTATTTTCAGTCTTATTCTTTACATTTTAAATAAAGATATATATATGTGTCCGTTTAGAACAAGATTAACAGTGGCTATGAGTTTCATCCACTTAGTTCTCGACGTAGTAGTTGTGGTTTCATATTTTGTTTTAATTAGCAATTTTATGTGCTTTTTTTTTTTTATTGGTTTCTTTCAATTACACATATAGCTTTATAAAAATCAAATGTATGGAAAATTTTAGGCCATCGAATCACAACAACAATAAATAACAAAATAACCTATATTAATCTGAACGATTTTTGAAAGAACCCAAAATTTATTTATGGTGAAGCTTGATTTTATCCTCTTTTTTTTTTTTTTTTAGTTCTTCGCGCGCTCACTAGTTAGAAAAATGCAATGAATTCCTTATTTTTATTTAGTCAAAATACTTCGATCTCAATATCTACGAGATTTACAGTTGAAATTTACTTTTCGGTTGATTGAAATTACCATCTTTGTTTCAGGGAAAAAAAAAAAAGACACTAAGCTTTTGTTGGGTTGGAAAATGTATTTACACCTCAATTCTTTTTTTCCCTAAGTTTACAGCAAAGAAATTCGTAAAAATTTTCAGAAAAAAAAAAAATATCATTTTATATCATTGTCACATCAATAATTATCATAAACTATTATTATAATTACCAACAGTCATTACACTTTATAATAATTAATGACTTACGGTGATTAATGCAATTACTAGAATAATGTGACAACATAACAAAATAAAATAATAAAAACTAGTGTTAATCTATCTAAAACAAAATAAATATAATTAATGCAACTACTGGGATAACTTTGACAAACAATAACATACAATAAAATAATCAAAACCAACGCAATTCATAAGATAATTTTGCCTTTTAAGTTTCATATAAAGAAATTAATCCTAAACAAAATTATAATAACAAAGTTGTCACATTAAACCTCGGGCACGTACGTGAGGATATTTCATTCATAAAGTTGATTTGAACCCCAATAATAAATAAACAAACAATTATTCTAATTACGACCTTAAAGATGTTTTGCCATGCAAAACCAAATTATAGTGATGTGAGAATGGTGCTTACATATATATACATGAATATCCATATCATACAACCAGTTGCATGATATTTATATGTTATGTGCAGTCCTCATCACAACCTTGTCATTATTTTACACATTAAAGATGACAGTTGAATTTTTTTTTTTTTGGGTGCATAGAAAAACGACAGTTGATTTATAGCATGCTATCTATGTGTCTATTTAATCGCTATAAACCATATAACAACTAGATTAAAACTCAACAAAGTGTATTATAAGATATAATTAAAGAAAAAACATAAAAATACACTCAAAAGATGTCATTGTTATATTTACGTCATTCAACAGCACAAACTTAACATGTATGCTACTTAATTGACATGCGATTTATTAGGGTGCGTTTGAAACAAAAATCTGTTTCATGATTCAGATCATGGTTCGTGACTCGCTACAGTATTTTTTCTCACAAAATATACACGTAAATAAAAAATAATTCTAAATCATAGTTCTGAATCTATGAACCAAACACCTTCTTAACTTTTTTATTTTGTTTTATGTGATACT